TCATTATGCTTTGCAACAATAAGGTTGTGAAGGTCTTGAGAGAGCTCTTTACTTTTACCCATCATCAGATGGTTCTTGTGTGATACCTGGCCARCATTTGGGACTGAACCAGCTGATATTAACTTGCACTGACAAGGGGCAGGCCTGCTTTCTAATTACAGAGAGAGTTCAGCTGGTGTCTTGGCTTTCCATGCCTTTTAACACCTCCCTTTCTTCATGTGTCCAATATTTTTTCTCTGTGCCATTCCACATTATTACAAATAACTTDATTTCTGGACATTTATGGTTTGATTTCTTTGTATGTATGGATCACTTGGGTTATTACCAACATCTGGTGAAAATTTCATGTCATTAGCACCTCTAGTAAAATATTTACTGAGAAAAATGTTGGTGTTCAATACGTATTTTACCCGCTGTAAGTAAAAGAAAAACAAAACAAAAAAAACACTATACTTGTGATATATAACAATGTACATATACCTAGTACAGTAAATAAATGAATGTATATGAAGGTGCATATTAGCAATGGCAGTGTAGGTGAATTGTCCAAGTTCCTGATATCATCATGATGTATGATGCAGTCTAACTGCAGTTGGAATGAATGACCAACGGAAGCTCTCCGTCCTGCAGCGAGGATGTTTCAGTCTCCGACTGAAGGAGCTGCGCTCACCCCCCCTCTCACGGTTTCATGCAGAGGTTGGTGGGGGTTGTCCATGATGGCTGTCAGCTTTGCTAACATCCTCCTCTTGTTAAGATCGGTTGTTTGAGCTCTGAATAATTTCCGAACACTGACAACGGTTTAACAGTTTTATTGTTAGAAGGTGTGTCTGGAGGTTGAGGATGGAAGTTCGGAAGCAGCAAATCTGTACACAGAGACGTGGAGTTAGGTTGGCACAACGAGATTATATTATTAAATAAAATAATATAATTCACCAACCTTCTCAGGAGGGACTGGGTCCGTGTGGAAACAACTGTCACAGCTTTTTGGTTCCAGGTGGTGTTGTCAGTGGAGGTTAAGCTGCTGCGGGAATTTCTCAAGGTCAAAAACAAATCRYGAGTCATACACGGGTGGTCAGAGATTGTTACCGGGTTAGATGGGGCAGGCTGAGTCGTAGGTCCAGAGATGTGTTCCGTGGTCCAGGTAATCCGATGTGGCGAGGTACCGTTCAGGGGAAAGGCGAGAGACAAAAATCCAAGAGACATAAACAAAGTCGTTACCGTGAAAGCAGATGACAGGCAGGATCCGACAAGGACTGAGGCAGGAGACGTTAAACCAGYAGACATGAGCAGGGTCGGGGACACGAGGCAAGAGCAGGACAAGGGACAAGAATGCTGGAAGATCATAGGCGAGGCTGATGATCATCTGGCAAGGGACTGGAGGCTGGAGCTGAGTTTTATACTGGCAGGAACAGGTGAGTTAAATGAGCTGATTGAGTTTTCTGTGACGGGAGGGGCAGAGGCAATGAGCAGACTGAGGAACAGGATGGGAGGGGCAGAGGCAGACAGGAGCAAGAACTGGGTCAAGAGCAGACAGACAGAGACAGAATCATAACACCGCCCCCCCCTCAAAGTCCGGCTCTGGACGGACCACTAGCTGGGGATGGCTGACTGGGATTGGATCGATGGAATTCCTTGATGAGGTCTTTATCTGGTTTACCTGGTGGCCGGGCTTTCACCCACGGAGCCCGGCCGGGCTC